ATGCTAATGTATTCATTCTAATCGCACGCTTTGATGGACGCTCCGCCTTCTAATTCTTATAATACAATGACCTACATAGCCGTATGGCGAAGCCGCGATTTTACAGTGAAGTATACGACTTTATTTTATTGATATCTTGTATATATTGAAATTCTTATTATTGAAAATCAATTACGTATAATAATGTTCCGATTTTAAAAAGTAAAATTTTGCATTTAAGGGGATGAAGGACCTTTAGCTGAAAAAATACCTGTCATTCAATTTTTTTCATATTTTGTATATCTCTTATTTAGTATGTCCCACATACCTTAAAGCAGATATATCAATAGGTTTCTAAATTTGTTTCTGAGATATTGAGTGACAAAAACTATGCCCCACAGTGTCTGAGTGAAGTTTTGATTCTCCGTATTTCTGGGCCCATTACTCGGTCCATAATGGAATTTTTTCAGCATATATAAAAAATCTGTCAGCGAACATGTGTCTTTCAAAATATTTCAGAGTATGAAAAGGGTTAAAAATTCAAAAAAGCAAGATTCTTTTGTCACACCGCATCTGGAGACGGAAAATTACGTTCTTTTTAAGACAATTTAAACGACAAAAAAAAAATAATTTACAAAAAATCCTATCATTCAAATTTTGAAAAATTACGTCGAAATGCAAGTTCGTCATGTTATTGATTAACCAAAAATATCGATTGGTGAAACTGAGCTCAATATTGCACAGGGCATACTTAAACAAGACATAAGCATGAGAAAAACTTGTCATGTTTACATTTCTCGAGTACGGGAAAACCCTACTATGACGTCACCCATTTGCGAAATAAGCAAAGTAAGACATAACTACAATATATTTCCGTCAACAACCATGTAAAAATATTTTTTGTGTTCTGTAATTCATAAAATATCCCACCATGTACTGATCATGACCCGTTTTTATGATATTATACCACCCGTGTTTTACCTTGTATATAATCTTACTGTACTAAGATCCACTGTGACGTCAGCGACTCGTTGGACGCGCAGCGCAATCGGCAATCCTCGGCTGACTCCGCTACGCTCCATTCAAACCTCGGATGTGATTAGTGGAGGAATACGCAACAGATCCTTACATTTCTCCGCCGGAAACTGCCTTATCACTCATTTCATAATTCGCTCGAAAATGTATCTTAATTTGTACAATTCTTTATCGTAAACAGATTTTGATTACATCCTCATGTTAACAGGCTTTGAAAGCAAGAAAAACTGTTGAGTGTGCCACAAAATAACTCCGATTTCAAATGTACGATGTTTGAATAAAATCCAAATAAGATCACATGACTGAATCAGCAAGATGGTAGATCACCGTTGACGTCCGAGGTTATGTGCGAGGTACGAGTCATCCGAGGATCTCCGAGTGCGCGCAGTGTAGGGAAACAGAAGAGTGGATCAATCTATTCCGTAATTTGAAAATATTTGCAAGAAAGTTTGAATGTTTTTAGATATTTTTATACAAGATGGTGAACTCAAACAAACAGTCATTTTTTTCCAAATACTGTGGTTTCAATCTGGTTTTGTACATATTTTATAAGAGATTATGACGTAATTAAACTGAGTCACGTGACCATACATCCTTCGTCTCCTTAAAAAGGGGCGAGATAGCAGTGTTATGAAGATTCATTCTTTAAATATCAGGGGATACAAGATAACTTCGCTATATCCGTATACATGTATCTGTGGTCGTACTAAACGAGTTTTACTGTATAACTAGTCATGCCTGTGTACATCCTTTATATAAAAAAAAAATTGATACATGTCACATGTAACTAGTACCAAATATACAAATTAAACTAAAGACTTCCTTAAATCTGTTCTGAAGTCTCTTTGTAGTGTATTAAAATAAGCATGCAATATTTGGCGTATAATACCGAAGAATTTTTTAGAAAGGTTATTTGTTGGAAAAAATTTACAAACATTCTGCACAGTTAGCAATTTTTATGCAGAACTTATATATGTTGAATGTGCATTTCATTGTACTTGTTAACAAATGTTTTTACTGCTTTAATTTTAAGAAAGTATATGACAAATTAAACAAGCATTTATATGATCCCTTGATTTACCATGGTATGTTAACATGGTTAGCTTTTGTGAACTTGGTACTGAACTAGTAAGTTTGAAATATTGAAGACAATGAAAAATGCATCCAAAAAAATTTACCCTGTATATACATGTACGTACCTGATTTAAAATAGATTCCACCATTAACTATACATATAAGTATGAGATAAACCCAATTAACAGATACTAGTGCATGGATGACACATTCAGTTGAAGCATTGTTCTTTTTTCAGTACCTTCTGGAGCCCTGTAACATAAATTGACAAATAAAGATAAAACGTTCTATTGTTGGATGATGAATATCCTATGGTCCCAGTGAGGGCTGTTAGGAGACACAGTTAGATTGTTGTACTACATGTACAACAAATAAGAAAAAAATCCAATTTCTCATCAAAGGTGAATTCAGGGCAAGCGCGACGCGCATGCTCCACCTACCCCTTTGAATTTTTTAAATGAAATTTTGCTTATGCTATTCTAAAATCAAAGGGAAAACACCTTAGGTGTTGGAATTTCCTCAGTTTTATGGGGGTTTTGTCCCTGGACTTCTGCCAGGGTTTTTCCCTTCAATGCAGCCACCAGAACCCTTTACCTGCTGCATCCCTCCCCATCCCCCGTTATGAAATTATTCCTGGATCCGCCAATGCAAATTCCTATTTTAAGAAAAAAAATGTCTGTCTCATAATTTTAAGAGTATTAGGGAAGGGGGTCATAACGCTTTACAGTTAATATAGAAATTGAAATTGAACATGCCTGTGTAGATGCAAGAAGTAATGATTGACATTTTTGTTTTAGGATCAACAAGATATAGTACATAATGATAATTAGCTCATCTACTTAATATCTACTGTGATTATTTATGCATTTTATTAATAAATTAAACAACGAATATTATTTCTATCAGGATCATGTTTTAATGTATTTATCAAACCTGTATTCCTCTTGATCGATGCATTTGGGTACATGTAAATGTATTTCCCTTTTGTTTTCAATGACTTTGCATGCTATGTCCCGACCTGTTTCTATTGTCCCGTGGGTTAAATCAATGAAATAAAATTATGGAACCAATCTTTGGGGAAACTTTTAGTTTGAAAACACAATACATGTATATCAGCTTATAAACTATTTTAATGTTAATTGTATGTTATAAAATATTCGCTAATCGTTCCCCACTCAGAATAGCTTGTTTGTACGTCAGTTTATAAAACAATAAAGCAATTAAAGGCTATTTACCTGTATAACTCAATTCATTTTCTCCTCTTCTTTTCAATAATCGGGAAACAAACGACATGACAGCCTTTTTTAGTCCACTGCCAAGCTTAAAACCTAACGCGAAACGGTAACCCATTGTCTCCAAAAACGCTGCGGTACCCGGAAGTTAGAAAACGAGAGTGAAAGTTAACGAGACTTACATACCCTATAATCTCTACACGTGAAAGTTTTCTTTTAATCAAATCAATTAATTAACGTTAGCGATTAAGCAATTAAGGCATTAATGTTTCCTTCGATTTATGTTTATTTTCATACATTTTCTTGTTCTAAACTAAGATAGATCTATTGAACAAATGCGATTCAGCATGTGCTACTTTCCTCGGGCTTTGTGAATGGAAACTTTTAAACTTCGGCATTATATTTTTAGTCATCCACTAAGAATCATCGCAAATCCCGAGAAAGTAACACCTTACCGTCTTCAACAATTAAAATTTGGAACGATACCGCCTATCTTATGGTTAAAAATTTCTATTTCTTGTTGTGTTCCTACGTCTCAGCCTCGCTTCATCATGATATAAAAGGACGATAACTCTTCCGAAATAAAACTAAGGGTTGCAATTTCGCAATGAAAGGTTAAATAATAACTGCGCCTGCGATAACGGCGCATATCCAACAGAACTGCGCTGGGATATGCAGAATAATACATCTCTTCATGATTGCTGGCAATCAAGAGCACGAAATACTATTGATTAGTGTTGACAAAAACTGGATCTGAAATGTTTAGTTTTTAGCTCACCTGAGCCGAAGGTGAGCTTTTCTGATCACATTTTGTCCGGAGTCCGTCTGTCTGTCTGTCTGTCTCTTTCTGTAAACTTTTCACATTTTCGATTTCTTCTCAAGAACCGCTCGGCCAATTTCAACCAAACTTGCCACAAAGCATCCTTGGGTGAAGGGGATTGAAGTTTGTTCAAATGAAGGGTCAAGCCCTTATCCAAGGGGAGATAATTGGGAATTAATGAAAAATTTGGTGGTATGCTTTAAAAATCTTCTTCTCAAGAACCACTGTGCCAGGAAAGATGAAACTTACGGGGAAGCATCGTCACATAGTGTAGATTAAAATTTGGTCAAATCATGACCCCTGGGGGTAGGGCGGGGCCACAATGACTGACCAAAGTTTTGCATAGAAATATATAGAAAAATTCTTTAAAAATCTTCTCAAGAATAACAAAGCCATAATTCATCATATTTATATAGAAGCATCCTCAGGTAGTGTAGATTCAAGTTTGTTCAAATCATGACCCCCGGGGTAGGGCGGGGCCACAATGGCCGACCAAAGTTTTACATAGAAATATATATATATAGGAAAATTCTTTAAAAATCTTCTTCTCAAGAATAGCAAAGCCAAAATTGATAATATTTTTATGGAAGCATCCTCAGGTAGTGTAGATTCAAGTTTATTCAAATCATGACCCTTGGGGGTAGGGCGGGGCCACAATGGCCGACCAAAGTTTTACATAAAATATATAGGAAAATTCTTTAAAAATCTTCTTCTCAAGAATAACAAAGCCATAATTGATAATATTTTTATAGAAGCATCCTCAGGTAGTGTAGATTCAAGTTTATTCAAATCATGACCCCCGGGGGTAGGGCGGGGTCACAATGGCCGACCAAAGTTTTACAAAGAAATATATAGGATTTTTATTTAAATCATCTTCTCAAGAATAGCAAAGCCATGATTGGTCATGGGACTATATCAAATTTAACTTTTCAATAATAAACTAATTTCTACTTTTTCCTAGCCACAGTGCTCAGGTGAGCGATGTGGCCCATGAGCCTCTTGTTTCACAATTAGAAATGAAGATCCTCATGCATGAAAATGCAAAATGTAATGAAAGCTTTACTATTGTCTTGTTCTGGTTGCGTCTTTCTTGTTAATTCCGATGATTCTGTAGCTGTACCCCTCGCGTGGAATACATTGAAATCAAATGCCCCTAAACATGTACCACTTTCTCCGGAATTAGATTTTTCTGTCAATATTGAGAAAGTAATCATCATTAGTGTTAACCCTAGAAAAAAGTGTTCATATGTCCTAAAAATTACTTATATGACCTCATGTATAAATTAAAATGAAACTGAGAATTAATAATATGACGTGCCTTTCAAATTCAAAGAAAGATTTGAAGATCTGTATGACAAGAAATGAAAGATTCAATGGGCATATTTACTATGCATTACTATACATGTATTACATGTCCACAGTGTGATCAGTTGACAGAGGATGCTCACTCCTTCTGTGTTACTGATCCCATCCCTGGGGTTTCAATGTTTTCGTGTTTTTCAATTTTCAAAATTATGTACATGATAAATCACTATTCATGAACTTGAATTCAGCCTTAGCGAAAAAAATGTGCATTAAGGTAACAAAGCCTAAAAGAGTCATGTAATTAGTGAGAACATACCTGGTACTTCTAGTATATACGTACAATGTACATATATGTATACTACTGTAAAAATCGGTTTTTGTTTTAGGAAACCATGCAAAGAGAAAAAGAAACTTTTTCCAACACATTTTCATAAAGATACTTACCTATTTTCCCGCCACACAGATACTGTCGTGTGTCTCCGGTAGAATCGTGGATAGTTATAGTTCCATTTTCATTTCTTGCAAGCTTGATGACAGGTTGAAATGAAACAGATGAACTTTTAAAAACAGATAGACAGACTGCACGTTTATCTTGGACTTGCGTTGGATACGAGATTGTAAACTTTTCATTAAGAAGAGAACTATTTAGGCTGCGACAAATTGTCCGAGCATCCTCCCAAACGTTGAAACCATGAAAACTAAGATTGACCCCGTCTGGAAGAAACAAAAAAAATGGTAAGTAAACAAAGTTCATTTCACTTTTTTTAAATGAAAAATATTAAACATTATAATACTAGTGATAGTCCATTTTTGCTACTAATAAGGTTTAATCTGCATTTGTTGAAACAAAAAAGGAATTAAGGTATTGAAACAGATAACGTATGTTCCATAAATGCAGGGATACCGCATACTTGTGAAATATTTTAAGCGCACAGATAAATACCCTTTCAAATACCTATGCATGCAAAATTTGTCGATTCAGTACGAATTTAACTATGACAAACTTTAACTTTTAAATAGTAACATATCTTTCTTTTACATCTTGCATTTATTAGTGTAAGATAAGCTGTGTAGAAAAATTAAGGCAAATGATCCTAATTTTCATTAAATTTTACACATATATGATCAGAAGATATGTCAATTGGATGTTTTGCATTTCTTGTCATATTTTGAAGAAAGAATGTTTTTAAAACACCTACCGTCATGAATACAGTATGTATCGCAGCGTTCATCACAACGTTGTCCAAAGATTTTATGAGATTCGAAGTTTTTGTGAGTAGCCACACATTCTGATTTTGTGTCATCTGTCAACCAAATTGGATTCACTAAATTATGTAATAAAGACATGTGTAACAATTTTCAGTGATAATTCAATAGATTGTTATATATAACAAAAATGTGTTATTGTGATTCAATGGCTCTAAAAGGCACTCAACAGCGATTTCGCCACAGAGTCATCCATAAATACGTCATATCCATATTTTTTGCAACTTTTGGCTATGTCTGCCACTGGAACATTGCTGACTCTCATCAGAACATAATTTGGTGATGCGTTTTCGTTTCCAGCTATCCATAAAAAAAACGCTTGCATGAGTGACCAGAAGTCTCTGTCGAGACTGTAGCTCTACTGGTTTGTACTTATAACAAAGGAAGAGAAAAGAAACCACTGCGATCAGCCCAAAACTGTAGGAGGAGTAGTGTTTTAAAGGAACTTCACAGAAATTTCTATTTTTAGTAACCAAGGCAACACCATTTATCGAAATCAAAAACTGATGCGTCAAATTATGCATCTTAGTGTAGTCTTTTTGTGTGCCAAAGTATATTGAAATCGCACTAAAACTGTAGAAGGAGTAGCGATTTGAAGGAATTTCACAGAAATTTCTATTTTTAGTATTCATGGCAACACCTTTCATCGAAATCCAAAACTGATACTCTAAATTAGGTATCTTGGTGTAGTCAACTTCTGTGCAAAGTTATACTGAAATCGGACCAAAACTGTAGTAGGAGTAGCGTTTTAAAGTAATTTCTCCAAAAACTCTATTTTTAGTAACGATGGCAACATCGTTCATCGAAATCAAAAACAGATGAACTATTTTATCTATCTTAGTGTAGTCTACCTGTGTGCTAAGTTATATTGAAATCAGACCAAAATTGTATGAGGAGTAGCGTTTTAAAGAAATTTCACACAAAATTCTATTTTTAGTACCCATGGCAACAACGTTGAACGAAATCAAAAACCGATGCACTATTTTTTGTATCTTAGAGTAGTCAACTCGTGTGCAAAGTTATATAGAAATCAGACCAAAACTGTAGGAGGAGTAGCATTTTGAAAAATTGTTTACAGGCAGACGGACAGACAGACGGACACCTTACCATCGCATAAGCTCTTCTGGTCTCTGACCAGTAGAGCTAATAATTACTACAAGTTGCTGTCCTTTAAAAAAGGACTGCAATACGTGGACCATATGCATGTTTTTTCTAACTGAAATTCAATTAAGAAATTTCTAGGTGTAGGGAATATTCCTGTAGGTTTGTTCACATTTTCTACAATGATATGCCTACTTATGACTAATTGTAGTCTCAAAGCAAAAGTGTTAAAATTTATCTCCGATTAGCGGCCCTTAACTTTGTCAGTTTAAAAAATCGGGTTATTTTGATACGTGTGACTCATACTGGCTTGGACTTGACACCTGTTCTGGATTTACATGGGAGAAAAATAGAGATCTGATGGTTCACGAGTAGCACAGCTCTGTAGTACGCAGTTTTTTATTTGTCGGAGCCCCCCCCCCCCCCTACATATTAAATTATTTTGCAAGCCTTGATGTACAAAACTAATGCCGGTGAAATTCTGTTCTTTCTGTTTAAAGCTAGAAGTAGTCGTTGAATGACGTTTTTCATTCAATTAAGTTGTTAAGTTACATGAATCTATATACTGCAACTTCGAATTCTTCCTACTTTTTAAAATGCTTGTACCATAGAATCAATGTTTATTTTGTATATAAAAGTATATGTAAAAGAGAGAAAACCGGATTCCGCCAATGAATATGTAAATGCGATAAGCAGATTTAAAAGCGCGATTTGCCAATGAAAGGCATATTTTAATTCGAATAGGGCGAATTATTCTACGGGCAAGATACATACGGTGCGAACTCTCTTAGCATCCTCGCGCATGCGTAGCCTGTCGTTTGCCCAGGGCATCCGGTTTAACCTCGCTTATATATTTACTGCGTGGACCTCAGGGTCCACGCAATAAATGATATGAAATTTAAACATAGTCTGGCCCCCTTCCAAAAATTCCGTTCGCGCAATATCTCTACATTAGGATCAATCAATAGAGAGAAAAATAAAAGGCGCGAAAAAAGCGTTATTACGCCTTTCCATAAACGCCTTTTTAAAAGGCGTCATTACGCCTTTCTATTCCAAGTATATGTTGGTAAACTTTTCCCGAGTACCATGAGATTCGCGAGGGACCAAATCGAATTGCGAGGGAAAAGTTTAACAACATACTTACATGTAGTACATGCTTCACACGAGAAATTAAGCCCTTTGCGATTGTGAAATTCATGTCCCGAAGTTAAGTCTCCCCCTACCACCACCACCACGGTTGGCTAGGTAAGTCATGTATTGAAAATAACGCCTTTTAGAAAGGCGTTATAACGCCTTTTGGAACGGAAAGGCGTAATAAGGCCTTTTAAAAAAGGCTTAAGGATGAAGTTTACTCAGGTTTCAGAAAACGGAAAGGAAATTTTATAAAGTATAATATGTTAAATCAAAAATTGCTCTAAATGGATAAAATAACTAAGTTTTAACTCAATATCAATTTAAAAAATTCATATTTTATTATTTGAGGAAAATGTTCGGGAATAAAGTCAATGTATGTTAATGCAGAGGAAATTCGGACTAAATTTTTAATTTTTCATTTTTGTCAGAATCTTTTTTCCTTGCAATATTAACCACAATGTAAAGATTACATGTATTTTTAAACTTTACAAATATTATGTGTGTTTAAGCTCATAAATTGTTTCAAACAATTGAATGCTACGAAATAAAGAAATTCAAAAGTATGAACAAAAACTATTCCAGACAAGATGTCTCAATAATTTGATCATTGACCCTATTTAATATTAATACCATGAGAATTAGGGCAAGAAAAGTAACCTGAGGTTATAAATAATTTAGAGTTCTTATCAGTCAGATTTTTGTAATATTTTATTAAAAATGGGAAAAATATCATTTGACAGAGGGTATTTGGACTCTAATAATTATCAAGTTTATGGCCCATACTCTAATTTTTTTCATATGAAGCAACGCTTTTCCATTGCTATAATATTTCATTATTTAAGGTAGGTCTAAACTCACACTACGTCATTTACGAATAGTAAAACCGGAACCACGCTTCCTTTTTCCGAGATTTGATTTTTGAACTATATTGGTTTGACTTTTACTTAGCGTTTTAAATATCCGGTGACGATTTTGCTCCAAAAATTAGCCTTTATTTTTGTCAGTTTAAGATGAAATGATACAAACAAAAAATGGATGTCTGGATTGGTATTATATTTTTCGACCTAATTCCATTGCAAATGATGCAAATAATAAATTTCTTGAATATAAAGAAATTGTAAACCTTCTGTGACGTTCAAAATTCTACCCTTCTGAAACCATCCTTATCATTCTATACAAATATTTTACACTTCAAATTCTATTTTCTGCAACTTTTAATAAGAAAAAAAACTACGCAGTGAAAGTTGTTAATTTTAGTCATTAAAACATGACCCAAGTTGTTATTTTCAAAATTTCTGACAAAAGATTGTTTGTAACATCTGTCCTTAAAAAATCTGGCTAATTTGATACATGTAACCCATAATGGCTGGGACTTGACACCTGTTCTGGATTTATACGGAAGAAATCTATCATGGAAAAAATAGATCTGATGGTACATGTAAAGCATGTTGTAAAACCGTTGCTACAGACCTCTATCAAACGGTATTTGGATTGCTGAAATATCAAATTATTTTGTGAGCCTTGATGCACAAAACTAATTATTAATGCCGGTGAAAGCTTGTTCTATCTTTTAAAAGCCAGAACTAGTCGTTGAATGACGTTTTTTATTCAAGTTGTTAAGTTACATGTATCTATATACTGCAAGGTCTTCCAACTTTTTAAAATGCTTGTGCCATAGCATCAATGTTTAGGTTTTATATAAACGTATATGTATAAAAGAAAAATTCGGATCCGCCAATGAATATATAAATACAACATGCGGATTTAAAAGAGCGATTTGCCAATAAATGGCATATTCTAATTCGAATAGGGCGAATTAATCTACGGGCAAGTGGTCTAATGGGCGAACTCTCTAGCATTCTCGCGCATGCGTAGCCTGTCGTTTGCCCATGGCATCCGGTTTAACCTCGCTTATATATTTACTGCGTGGACCTCAGGGTCCACGCAATAAAATGATATTTCTGTGAATGATGCATGTGTTATATGCCGTGCCGATAACACGGACCACGAACATGCTACATCAGAACATGTTTCAAACTGTCGAAGTCGAGCACAGGGGCTTGTGTAGAGAAAATAAATCAGTTAAAAAAATGAGTACCTCGGAGAAAAAAACACAAGGGAGGACGCCATTTTGGATACCACCTCGCTTCAGCAGCTATTTTCTCGCTTAAATTGTTAAAGTAGACAAACGAGCCAGTTCATATCGCTTAATTAATGTTTTTTCTTGAAGGTCTTACTTGCAGTTTTAATCTTTCTTTGTTAACATTTACAGTCTTAGTCAATTTATCGCGAAAACATCCAAAATCAACAACTCCTTGGCTTCTGCAGAAAACGAAAGTATGACACGTGACTTAGAGAATATTTCGTACTACCCCAGATTCAGTCCAGATTCAACAAATTTTGGAAAAAAAGTGAAACCAAAATACTTTCAAACAGAAAAGCAAAGAAGTGAAATAACAGTCATTGATAAAATGAAAGCATCTGAGTTTACCAATTAAATATTCAAATATTTCAGTTTGGGTACGACTTTACTTTTACCTTCATTGTTATTATAAATAGTAACCGAGCGACACTAAGTCGGTCTTTTAACAAACTCTTTTAACAAACAAGCTCTTTTCTACTTTAACAATTTAAGCGAGAAAATAGCTGCTGAAGCGAGGTGGTATCCAAAATGGCGTCCTCCCTTGTGTTTTTTTTCTCTGAGATATATACTCATTTTTTTAAACTGAGTTATTTTATCTACACATGCCCCTGTGAGTCGAGGCGACTATTGTCGGCGGCCAAGTTAAAGTTACTAGTGACAAGTATTAGCTTTCCTAAAAAGCTTGTCTGACGTGGTTTGCTTAAATTCATAAAGCGGAAAGAAATAATAAATTATGTTATATAATTTATTTCGTTCGTTAATATATCTTCAGGAGACCATGCGAAATCAGTATATATACAATAATGTACAGAGAACTTTAAATTGATGCTCCTGGCTCCAGGATCATGAAACAAACTTTAGACTTTAGTGAAATTTTTAATCGCCGATGAAATATTTATTAATTATATGGAATTTATTTCTT